TGTATAAGAGACAGGCTCAGGAGGGCTTGCAGAAGTCTCCTGGGCGAGCTTTTTGCAGCCCTGGCTATAAACTTGGCTTGTTTTGACTGGACTAGATAACCGAGACAGAAACAACTGTGACAGGCAGGCAGATCTGGTTCCTGAAGCTGCCCCGCCACAGGATAGGGACAAACAGAAGGTGCTGTAGTTTAGAGGCAATTTTAATCCGATTTTTTAAAAAATATTTAAAATTTACCAGCTGAAACTTCCCACCTGGCTCTTCATCGCCCAGGTTAAAGGCACGGGGTGCTTCGGCGGTGCATTTTGTAACGCCTTCCCCCCGTTAAGTTGCCGTTACTGGCGTTGGATGGAGGATACGCGCTGGCGGGCGGGTCCCTGCGCCCCGAGCCGCGCTGCGCTGCGCGGTGCCCTGCCCTGCCCCGCGGCCCGGGCGTGGGGGCGCCCTGGCCAGTGGCCACCGCGCACAGACACGGGGGACGAGGGGACGCGAGTTTTTGTATCGAGACATCACTGATGCATCTGGGAATCCCCGGGTTTAAATCGCGGGTTGGTGCCTCCCCGGTTTTTTGGGTCCGGCGTTGGCCTCCAAGGTGGCTGCAAGTGCTTGTGCCTGGCGGGGGGGCATTTCATCTGGCGAAGGGAGAAGGGAGGCGAATGCCCTTAATTGTATTTAGCAAGCGAAGCCGTGAGCATTTAATTATGTTGGGTTTGGTTTTTTTTTTTGGTGGTTTTTTTTTTTGTGTTGTTTTTTTTTTTTTTTTAAAGGGTTGGACATTCCACAGCTTGTTTCTCTAGATCATTTTAAATTAGTTTTGATGTTTAAATACATTTCATATGAAGCCTGTCTAAATCCTTTAACCAGTATATTTTGGAAAGCACAAATATGCTTTCATATGATAGAGTAGCTAAAAAAAATACTTCTTGTATTTGAGCAAAGCTGTTTTGGTTTTAAATTAGGTTGTTCAAACCCTTCTAATTTGATCATACTTGATTCAGCACATAAAAACGATGCAGAAACTCCTGTTATGAACCTAAACTGCACATTAATTTTCTTATCAAAATATTATTATAGAAAAATATTAGTCATTCTTCTTGGCATAGTAAGCAAAGAAACATGTGGATGTGTTAATTTATTCCAGACCCAGCAAAGAGGGATAGTTTATATAAGTAAAATAAATAATTCTTGACTATTTAATAATTGGATCACTTTAACAATAGTTGACTAATAGTCAGATGTCTGAAATACATCTTGCCTGTTTCTGTTCTTTAGGGAATTTAACATGTAAAAGAGTGTTTTTTTCCAGGAATGTAATTTTAAAATTGTTACCTTTTTACATACTTAATATTTGTTTCCCTCCATAATTTATTTCAGAACTAGGAGAAAATAGCTCAAATGTAGTTGAAATTAATCCCTTGGGAGTCTGCAAAGAAATTAGACTGAGATAATAAATCTTGTGAAGGAGTTTAAGATGAGCATACACAAGATGTTTTAAAAGTGTATTACTTTACTATCTAGCATAGGTAAAAAAAAAATATTCTCAGACGTAGTGATTCATTGGTTAGTCATTTGTTGGTTTTGATTGTGTTAATGAATTGTTGAATTATATATATCTAATTCCAAATTGTGTTGGTGGTACAGGAGTGAAAGTAAAAAAAAGTAAAATTTTTTCTCATTACTGTAATATAAAAGTGTCTACTTACAGCATATGAAATTCCTGTATTTCTACATACGGCTCTGCTAACTTGTTAAATTCTTCCCATTGCATTTCGAGTTATTTTACCTCTGTTCATAACCTCTTTAACATTCTGTTATGTTTTCCCAACTTTGAGAATTCAGGTGGCATGTCTCTTCATGTTGGTAATTGATAACAGCTAGCTAAGATTAACTCCTAGGATTATGTTGATTTAGATAACAGAATTCCATAGTTGTATTTTTTTAATTTGCCTGAGCATTAAAGAAATCGTGTGATTGTTACTTGTAATATAATTTAACCTCCCTCCTGCCAGTGGTGTGATGGTGAAGATATTGTTCATAGAGTGCAAACAGACACAGTAAGTACTTAAATACTCATGGGTATTTTTACTACCACCTAAAATAATAAAAAGTATTTAAGTATCAGAATCTAGAGTGCATTCATTATTTATCATTTTATTTGAAAGGGATGATTTATTAAAATTTCCAATAAACTGTGTTTGCTTATATAGAGAATATATTAGCATTGAGAAGATGTAACATATTAGTATTTTTTTGACAGTGTAAAGATACAATATCTCTGGAAAGTCACAGCTAAGGTCTTGCAGTCCTTGTTTGTTCAGAATTATTTTCACAGAAGTAGAATTTTTGGATGAATGGTAGTGAATTCAATACTGTTCTCTACAAACTTAACAGAAGAATTAAATTTTGTTAGAAAAGACAGTACTTGCAAAGCCAAAAATCTCTAAAAGAAGATAATTACCATTTTTCCTGATAAACTTTTCCTATTGCATGTTATCACTGTAAGGACAAAGGGGGGGTGTTGAATCAACCTTTTTGATACTTGCATTTTTCCTTGGAACCTGCCCTCCCCTCCGCTTACATTCAAGATGTCATAAATACTATTTGTTAATTTAAAATATTGGACAGTGTGTTTCTTCCTCATAGTTACAAATTTATACATAGATGAGTAAGATGGATATAGTTAATGTTTTTCAGAATTTTGATGTAGTTTTAAAAATTATTTGGTCCAATTTTTCATGTAAATAGTATTACATGATTTTCAGAGTAGTTTACTTATTTTTGTCAGCGTTACTACAGACTTGGTGCCAAAAGGCATGGAGATGCCTGAAACTGCTTTACATGTATTTGAAGATTATTCTGTACGTTTATACTGGCTCAGTGCTAAGGAGTCAGCTTTGTCCTAAATGTGAACTGTAACTGTAGCATTAAACATGCAATTGCAACATCTATATTTAAAGGAAAAGCAGGGAATTTAATAGCAGCAACCATGAGTAGAAATTTAGAAATCGTAAATGATGGGAGACAGTAATACCAAATAGTTTGGGTTTTAAAAATAAAAATATTAAATCTTGGTCAAAATAGATTTTTAGAGTTTTTATAGGTACTAAAAATGAGTACAAGGAAAACTAATATTTTGAGAAGCTGTAGCATGGCATTTTTAAATAAAAGCAGGAATGCAATTAATGAAATACTAATTAAGACATTTGTTATTGATCCTTAGTATTTTTTCCCCCAGAGAAGGTTAGTTAATTAAAACAAGGAGAATGCTGAGGGTCTTTGGTGTCAGAACAGGAACCCAATTTATTCTTGACACAATTCAAATAGTAAAACCCATCAGTGTCTCAAAGCAGAAAACTCGCAGCTTGCTGGAACAGCCTCTGCCAGAGTTCGCTGGAGATCTGCTTGCACTTTCCCAAATTTCTGCATTTCTCTTTCCTGTGTGCAATAGCAGGAGCAGACATTTAAATTACTTCGTATTACAAGGGAGCACATTAACATCAGGAGGCCACACTGGATGAGGAAATGAGGAAACCCTAGTTTAACCATGATTTTGATTATAACTATTTGGCAGTATTAGACCTGCTAAACTCATGTTCTTTAGTCCCTTTCTATTTATTTGAATGTATTTTTAATTATATTTTCTTGAGTGAGAGATGCAGGGAAAAGGAAGCTTGGCAAAAAACCTCAGAGTATTGACTTGCTGTTTGCATATTTGGGAAGGATTCCCTCTGAAATATTCCTAAGGCTTTAGAAAACCGGAAAGGAAAAAGAACCTTATTACAGTAAAACCACCGATGTAATTAACATTTCCTAAAGTGATGCAAGGTTTTCAGTTACTTAAATAGTTTGTTTCCATGTTAATGATAACACTGAGATTACCAACCTACAATTTTAATTTCTTCTGTCAGATTGTGACGGTTCTGCTCCTGTACTGAGATACTGGTTTTAACTGTTGAAGTCTGTACTCTTGCTCACTAGCTCTGCAGCTCGAACCCCTGCCACACAGCTCGCTTGGTCAGTGGGAAGCTGCTGGTGGGTCTCCTTCCTGCAGGGCAGCCCCCAGCCCCAGCTCCCCTGGCGCAGCTCTGAAACCTGCACAATGTAAAGTGTGTGTCGGAAAGCTCGAAAGTTACATGTGATCGATTTGCTTGATTTTAACAACTGTGAGGGGAAAAAAAAGTAGATTATGTAGTGATTATTAGTGCTTACCCAGTATTTTATTCCCCCCTCCCCCTGCAAGTCCCTCGACAGAAGTACAGAGCCAGGTATCCAGCACATACCATTGGTATCTTAAAAAATCACCTCTCAAAGATCTCTCCCTTAGGCAACGTATAGCTGCCAAAACAGACTCCTGCCGAGTATCAAAGGGCATCCCCTGCAAAGAAATGAGGTTTCTCCCATAAGTTTTGACAGAGCAGCTGTCTGGCATAACCAGAGCTGCAGCTGGATAGTCCCAGCCGTGCTCATCTGCTTTTTTTGTGAGGAGTTTATAAATACACCCCGCTGCTCATACGGTTACCCGGAGTTAGGATTTTGTGAGCAGCTAGGTTGTTTGATTCAGCCCAAAGTACTACATGCGATGTACGTTACCAAACCCGTGGAAGAAACTGTTCCCAGTGAGAACCCTCCAGCTGCCGGCAGTGCCCCGGCTGCTCCGCCGCGGTTGCTGGCATGGGTTTCTCTGCGCTTTCTATACATTCAGAACAATGGAATATTCCCCAAAACACTGACAGCTGCCACCAGCAGTTCAGAGAGAGACCCTGTGCGTGGTCCTTCGCTCTCCGTCAGGGGCTCTGCAGCCACGAGGTCTGCAGCAACGTGCTCACTCAAATGCTTCCATGTAGCCCAAGGGACATGTCTGTTAGCACTGTTCTTACAAACAGCCACTCTTGGGGTTTTCATGCATCATCTGTGAGCATTAAAACTTGGCCCAGTGGGGTCCCTCGACCTGATGCCGGGGTCTTGAGCGGAGGTCCTGAGCCCGACAGGCCCCAGGGCACCTCCTAAGGGAGTAAAACCCAAGCACAGAGGAGGATGTAGATGCTTAGACCTCAGCGTTAGCCCTGTTGTAGGCACAGAAGTAATGGATATACAAATGCAACTCGGGATAGAAGGACTGGAAAAATGTACTAGCTTTATTGTTACGGGTTCACGCAAGCTGGCAAGTGAGCCGAGCACAGAAATAAGCTGGCTACAGGCTGCTTGCAAAGCAGCGTTGCCCCAGATCACTCCAGGGAGCACCCATCCTTTTTACTGAGCGCAGACGAAGCGGCAGGCAGCGTTTGCAGGGCTCCGCTGCGCAGTGCCCAGGGAACGGACCGACGCTGGTACAACAGCCGCAGGTCGGCTTTCCCATATATGGGAAAACCTTGCTCTAATTTCTAAAGCTATCATTGTAGCAGTACTGGATAGGGGCGTTTTATAAGCAAAGCTGAGTGCCTGTTACGTTCATTTGTATACCAGTATCGGGAATGCTGTTGTGGTTGCCATTGCAAGGTATGCTTGCAGCCCTTACGCAGGCAGGTTCCCAGCATTTTCCCACCTATTTAGAATTTTCTAATAGAAGTGTGAACCAGGGGTATGGCACAGGGGAAGGGATGATGCTGAGATTCTCTAGAAAAGCAAATGACCAGAGGGCCCCGTACATAGGAGATTTTGTGTTGGTAGTTTGGTGAGATAGCCAGGAGGGGATAAGGATGAGCACTGCAGCAGTAAATGTGCTGGTTCAGAGGCATTATTTATTAATACGTATTATTTTGGCATTATGTGGATTTACACTGAGCTCATCCCTACGTTAATCTGAATGCTTTACTCTTATCCAAGCCATTGCAGGCTGCCCATACAGTGAGTAGACAACCAGCCTGTCATTTCTGTAATTCTTGTAATCTAATTACTGCCTGCCAGAGCAGCAAGTAACTTCTGCTAAAAATCCATGATGTACTTATTACCTTGATGCAGGTGTCTGATATGGAGTAAGGATCAGCCAAAAACATCCTGAGGGCTCCTGGCGGCTGCGGTGCCTCCAGGACTGTGACCATGGTTGAATTTTTCTCTTGGTTGGTGTTCACCTGTGGTGTGTGACTCTTTTAACTACAGCAATTAAAAGGCTGAGGAAAATGGGAAGGAACCAACTATGTCTACCTCTAGGACAAGGTAGATGCTTTGTCTTGCGGGCAAATAGTTGTATGAAGAAGGCTCCCGCCCTGGCAGCCCAGGACAGTCAGACCTCCCCTCCAGGCACTGCTTGGCATTTTGGGTGCTCTAAATCTGCTCATTTCGGTTTTTTGTTTGTTTGCTTTTAAGGAAAAAATAGAACATTAATTATTATTTGTAAAGGGCTAGATTCTCACTGCAGAACAGCCCAAGTAAAGTTAAATCATACAGTAGTTACTTTGCTTAAAATATTAAGCAAAGTTTGCTGCCATTGCCCTGCCGACCACTATTTTTGAGCCAGCAACAGAAGTGCCTGGTGGTGCTGTTTGTGGCTCCCCTGATGTTTATCCGTTGATTTGGGGTGGCAGTGAAAACTTTCCTTTGATGCAAGCCTGGCTAGTCCGGCAATAGAAACGCCAGCATGAGCAGGATGTGAATCTAGAAATTTTTTTTATGATCTTGTTTAAAACCACCCATTTTTCAGCCCTTCCGAAAAGAAACCAGAAATGAAACCCACCCTGGCAATGCCTTACGCGGTCCAGGTCACTGCTGGTTATTCCCACCACATGCCCAGTTTTAGGGGCAGCACCTGTGAGAATGTGCCCTTTTCTCAGTAGCTGGAGAGGAAAACATTACAGGTACTTGCTGGCTGAAAAAGAAAGATGCAGCAAGCAGCAGCTAGTTGCAAAATAGCCGCTTTAAAGCAGAAGCTGCCTGGCTCTGCCAAAGCTGAAGGGCCAGCCCCAGAATGGAATGCTTATAAAAATAAGATGGTAACCATGCAGCAGAGAAGGAGTAGAGACCAGGAAGTTTCAGTGTTACATACAACATGATACTCTGCTTGGAAAAATATTGTCACAATTATAGAGATATGGGCATGGATCCATAGTTGAAAGGCACAACCCAGTACCTATCATTAGGGTGATTTTAATCTCTTATTTCCAATTTTGTCTGTGGAAGAAACTCTTTTTGGCTTGAAAATTCTCGTGTGAAACATTGAGCCAAAGAAGATGTGTCTCGTCTGGGGAAAAGTTTGAAGTAATTGGTTAAGGCTGGTTTTGAATTATAGAGGGGGAGAAATTTGTCTTATACCATTTCAAAACATAACAGTATATTGATTTATTTAGAAATTTACAGGATGATAGATTTATTTTAGTTTAACCATGTTGATATTTATTTCATGGTTTGGATTTCCAACAAAATGAAAGAAAGTGCTCCTTTCATTCAACCTGATGGGGAAATAATAACAAGACAGCGACCTTTGGAAACATGAATGCTGCAGCTCCTCAGTCATCCTGAGTAACAGTGGGATATCTTGATTTTCAATACATCAGAAATCTTGCAGTCTGTATAAAGGTTTTTCTCCTTTTAGTTTTGTTTTTTTGTTTTTTAATAGTGGAACCTGACTTCTGTCATCTTGGTTTAAAAGACAGGCTATTCCTTGAGCCCTAATTAGATCCAGAGAGACAAGTTTCTGCTGGGATGGGGGCTGTAGATATGCAAGAACTAGTGTGAACTCTCTGACTTCTCCTTCAGGAGTCACAGAGATGCTTCAGTAAGCCAATATGGGGCACTGGAGGAAGGGACACATCTCATCAGAGGAGGAATGCTGGGCTGACACTTTTCCTGTCAATTGGAAGATGTTAAATTCTAGCACTCCTCTGGGTTTAAAAGTTATTTAAGAACTAAGTGCTAGAGAGAGGTGTACTAAAATTCCTGCTAGCCCAAAATCTTACCAATTTAGAAAAAAATGCTAAAGCAGTATTTAAGTACTCTCTGTCTTGCTGTCTTGGTCTCTTCTTTGTCTCCCCTCCTCATGGAACATCAGAATAACAACACAGACACTGAAGTTTCATCTTTACCCATTAAATGCTACTGCAACAACAACAAAAAATCACTTTCTGGCTTTATAATGAAGATGGCACTGTTGAAAAGTGAGTTGATGTGCTGCCTTTGGAGCTGTCGGTTTGCAGGCAAGCTGTACCTTCTTGTGGTGTCCTGGCAAGAGATTAATAAATTACAAACACTTAACCAGTTTTCTGATTACAAATGTGTAACAGCCTTTGCAATCAGACAAATGTGTTTACATAGTAACTTAGCCTATAGAATATTATTCCAACAATTAATTTACTTTCCTTGCTTTTTTGCTCTTACCTTACCACAGTAGGGACAGTTGTCCATCTCTTCGGTATTCTGTTGCAGGGCAGACAGTTTCTGTGTAGGTGGGGAGTATTTCACATGCCTATTTCTGCATTTTGTGCATGGCATTGAACTTTCTCTTAACCTGGTCTTCAATGGAGCACATGCACTTGAAGTGAAATCACCCTGTGGGCTGGTACTTTGGTTATTTGTGTTATGTCAGGCTTTATCAGTGTCTGTAAAAAATGCTCTTCCAGCTCTGCGTGGGGTACTGTGTCTGTAATGCTGGAGGTCTTGCAAATCCTACCAGGGCTAGAAAGCACTGAGAGGAGAGCCAGTCCTTGACTGCACTATTTGGGTCCAGCCCTCCTCTCCTTCAGCCCCAACATTTGATGCACGTACTGGTTTATAGCACAGCCCCAGACCCTGCTCTGGTTCTGTTGCAAAAATTTTCCACTCCTGCTGTTCTCTATCTTTAATAGATAATATTTTGAAAGCATTTTATTTATTAGAAAGACCTTGGCTGACATGATTCACCTCGGCAAGCAATGAACACTTTTTAAATATATATATATGTATGTATATATACACTATAGACATATATATGTCACCTTTATGAGGTCCACCAAGACACTCTGTGAGCACTCGAAGGTGGTGCTTCTGTTAAAGATGTTGGTGTTTACTTTACAAGCAAGGCAAAACTCTTTAGAACCAGCAAAAACTAGGTCTAACAAAAATAGTTTAAGTAAACAAAGATGTTTCTCTTTTGAGAGGAGGTAGATGTGCCTGTGTAAGCACATGATCCCTATGGAATCTGTCCCACCACAGAGTATAAATAAAAAAAATCCACAGTGGAAAATAAAAAAAAATCAGGAGCTTTGTTGCTTTTCCTTTCCAAGCATCTCGTTATTAGGACACAGTTGGTTGGTGTATGTCGGCTGATGGTGTTTCCCCAATAGCATTTGCCTCACTACATGTCTTGAAGGACAACAGGAGATTCCTCCTCTGCACGTGTGGCCAAAGAATTTCAGTTTTCCACCAAAATAAAATGGGGGCATGTATAACTTCATTACATGAGCGGGTTGTGTATAGAAGCATTGTGAGTGTAGCCCTGCCCATCGCCTTAGCCTTGGTAAATCTCTGCCTAGATTAAGCCAATGGGATAGCTCAACTTTTTTTTTTTTTTTACAGATGTAGTTGAAGGCAGGTGACCTTTGTTATTTAGAAGCTTTATCATCCTCTGCTCCACCTCAGGTATCACCTGTATTTCCAGGAAATACGCAAAAAACATTCTGAAGCATGCAGGATGGAGGTCATCTTTGAGAGGCATCCTACAAAGTTTCTTTCCCTAGGAAGGATTTGTTTCTTGTTAGGAAGCTTGTAGCTCTATTTAAACTTTTTTTGTAGTCTGTAAAACCAGAAGGAAGATGCTGTAGCCTAGCTGCATAGCCTGTTTTGTATTGCTTGAAAACAAATTGTTTCCCTTGACCTTGGTGGGAATTTAGGTGAAGTCACAGCAAAGGAATATAGCTTAAAACACAGAGTATGATGTCTGCCCCTTTTAAAATCTCTGATAGCCCATAAACTTAAGTAACTTAATAAGAAGTATTTCAGAAGGAGCCTGAACAGTGGAGAGGACTGGTATTTTAATTTTAATAGATTATCATCATTTGTCTAGGCAGAAAATTTATTTCTGCATCCAGCTGTAATTTTGTCTTGTAAGACTTAATGCCTTTTAAAAACACCACTTTTGATTTAAAGACTTTTAAGATATAGTGTAAATACTTTGAAATGCAGACAGCAACATGATGTTATTTTTAAAAAGTAACAGAAAAATGTGGTATCTGTGATACTATCAGCATACCAGATATCATACCACCTGAAACTTCTTGGGAGGTTTTCTTACAGCCCTGTTAGTTCAAGACCCTGTGTGGATCAACTTTTGCACATTTTTCAAGTCAGCAAGACTGCAAACAAGGATTTAGAGACTGTAAAGTAGTAAAATTCCAAACGAGAGACACTGGAGTTGGAGAAAAGGGACTCTGATATT